ATCGGGGACTTTTTCCACGCCCAGGTGCCGAGTCACATGGTAATTTCCAGGTGTGTGTGTCTCCAGGAGCCGTGGCTTAGTTGTTAGTTACACACCTGTGGGATCTGCACACATTCCCCTTGGCTGTCATCGCGTTTGAAAATCGGAAGATTGTGCCGAGGGAGAGGTGGGAGGAGGAGGGCGAGAGAAGCGCGCACTGAAAGGAGAACTGACGCGACCGGGTAAGGAGAGGAATTATTCCCCTCCCACTACACACATCGCCCGGCAATATTATGTGTGTGGAGACAACAGGCAGCAAGTAGTAGAGGAGGTGGGGGTGTGGTATAGGGGAAGAGAACAAGCTGTGTTGCCTGTTCGCCGACGCGCCGTAAATTTCCGCGGGCGGTGGGAGCGGTGCGGTAGCGGCCCCTGGCCGTGGTTCCTGTACTGTGGTTCATCTACGAACGAAGACTTTGAAGAGTGGCTCCACGTTATTCCAGGCAAATAAGTTGTATTTACAATGGTTATTGTGTCACTAAGGTTCCCGCCCCATCAGCAGAAGGCAGTTACATAAATCTGTCAAGTCATACCATAAAATATTATTTAAAAAAAAGTCACCCATCCCATGAAATATGAGGATAAAGGTCCATGAAATAACACGAGTTAACTTGCTGACCCATGACAAATTAAATGGGGGAAATGATACAGATAGTTTTGGGTTTAGTATGCATAGTTTATAGAAGCTTTGCCACCAAAACCATCCAATATGATGACAAATTCATCCTTTCAAAGACTTGCTGTGCTCGAAACATTCAGATTTACTATGCACAGGTGTTACTAATAACATTAAGGGTGGTTGTGTCATGTTCACGTGCCCCAGTATGACAAGTGTGATAGTATGACAGCCAACCAGCATCTATAATTCAAGGACCAAGAAACCAAAGGGGTTACACTGAATTCAGCTATCACAAGTTTTATTTTTTACACCACTCTTCTACAATGTCAAAAGTACTCTGAAAAAACCTATAGGCACAGGGCCAAAATCTGTATTTAAAAGAAAAAATTATTTATTTTATTTTTTGCTTTAAATATACAAGTCTCACTTTATAACTTTTAAAATATAATTTATCTACATGATGAGGTTTATACATGTGTATTATGTGCAAATGTAGAATGTAAACTCCTTCTTAGTTCTGCAGCCCAGCCTCCCACAAGCAATACAGAGGACCTGACCTCAGTGTCCAAGCAGCTAAAACTTTGTTGGAGGTATTTACAATAGTAAACAAAAGCAGCTGAACACAGCCCAGGGCATGTGTCTGTCTGAATAATAATGGATATTATGGATGTGACTGTGGACAGTTTTTACCATATCCCTATCTTTTAAAGAATAAAAAAGAAATACCCTGTTGACAATATTATCCAGAGAAAGATACACTGTTGTTGACTTTTACAAATGTCATCCCTTGATCCTTTGAGTATCACATACAAGTTTCTCTTTTGGGTGGCAGCGGAAGCCTCAGCAGCAGCTACATTAGAACCAAATAAAACCAAAATATTACAGCATCACAGTTTATTTTGTCTTGGGTGAACTGACTTTCCCTGATCATTATTATTATGTAAACTACTTTCACTATGATCATTGTTTCTTTTTTATTATGTTGCTTTGTTTGTGCTATTATGATGACATACACTGTGATGCAAATGATATTGTGCTGGGTTTTTCCCATGTTTTTTATTTTATTTTAAATTGTCTAATTTATCTAAAAACTCACAGGAGGCAATAATTGTAAATTAGCTGCCACTATAAAAATCTATGTGCTCCCCATTTGTTATATTTTAACTGAGTGAATGTAACAATAGTAATTGCACTTTCCCTGTTGAATAAATGGATAAATAAAACATAAATAAACCACTGATATTTCATACAAATGAGCACAGATTGATGTGGAAAGGGAATTTGAGCACATTGCTTGGCTTAAAAATGTTTTCAAAAGCAGCCACTCTTCATTCATTCATTTTTCACTGAGCCTCATTTGACTATGTCCTTACAAGAGCCGTATTAGTAGTCATTATGATGAAAATTATTGGTGTGCTCTCTGTACCTTGGTTGCAGAATCATTCATCACAAGAAGTATCATTTTGCTGCTCTTATATCCAGCTAAGTTTTAGAAAGTTTATCAGTCTTTCATTGCCATTTGAACATGTAATACCCTTTAAATCAGTCATATGTTATGTTTTTTTTCTTGCCATATTCATGCAGCGAGGAGCTAAAGGTTGCTTTGATTTCATATGGGCCATATGTCTGTAAGTACTTCTCAAGCTTGATTGGCTCTATCATCACCAAAGAGGTTATATGAATAGCTTATTTTTGCCTTAGAGGCCAGTATCACATAACGCTGCAATTTGGCACACTGAGTTTTATGGCTCCATGTCATGCCTTGTTGTGTGGCTGGGTGTCAGGTTTGTGAGTGATTTATGGGCATGCAAATGAGGCTGTCTGTTTGGGGAGATGTGCTGCCTTTGCCCAGTGGGCCCTGGAGCAAAGACTGGAGACTGCGTGGGTGTGATTCAGGCCCTAACTGCTGACACAGGCACCGGACTGGCAGAGATTCACAGAGCAAGATGGGGAGATGGCCTTCACAGGTCCTCACAGTGACTGATGAGATCAAGGAGAAAGTAGGCCAAGCCAGACAAGTGTCAGGCAAACAGACAACTAGAGATAGAGTGAGAGAGACAAACACTCCCCAGTCACAAATAGAGCTTGGAGAGTGGAAAGCGGTGAGGTAGACAGACTGTTTTGGGTCTGAGTTCAATATGTCCAAACCTGTTTGTCTAAAGAGTAATGAGGCTGCTAAGTCTCAGAACATGCTAGCCCAGGGAATGTCGGCAGCCGGGAAAGGCCAAGTCAAAGCTCTCTAAATTCACTAAAGTGGAATAGAAGTCCACTTTGCTTTACCAGATAGCCTGACTGTGATGACATTTTGATCAATGTGCATATACCTTGCTGCAGCTCATTTTTATGTTGCTTGAATAGTGATGATCGGTTATCATGTTGGTGTCAAACAGAACCATTTGTCATACAGTGTCCCTTAGCTGGGTCAGGCTGCACAGTGCTCGGCTATCAACACATTGTATAACTTAATTTATGATACAGCATTTCAGTTGTCCATAATGATGTAGCGGTCATATCCCATTCAAGGTTCATAGTTCATTGTCTGTTTGCCATGCGGTTAGACTGCCCTCTATGGGTGGCAGTTTGTATTGTTTTATCAACTAACAAGATCATTAACTAACAGGAGAGTAACACTGATTACATTTTTATTTAAGTGCCATAATTTAGCATTTAATAGCAGTAATAGATATGTTAAAATGCTTTATAACCTGTGATAATGTAGCTGTGTGCCAGCTATAACATCTATGAAGCTGTAATGTATAGCATTGTATACCAGAAATACCACAAAGACAATGTGATCCAATACTTGACTTCTCTGATTTATATATATTACAGTAAGAATATATTTAGTGCAGTGATACAGTATTATGCTATACTAATGTCTTGTTCCCATTCATTTATATTGCCATTTAGCTTATATTTTTCCCAGTAATATAGTCATAAATATTGCACATTACATATTTGTGTTGTATAGAAGACACTGGGCTATAATTTTCTTTTGAAACTTTTAGTGTGTGTGTGATTAAGTAAGTAGTTTGCATCTTCACAGATCTCAGTATGAGCTAATTATAAAGATATAGTCCAACATAATAAGGAACTGTATGCAAGATAAGTAAACAATTATCTGGTACAAACATCATTAGCAAGTTCATTAGGAAACTAAGCATATCTGAGCTTCATCAGTAAATCATCACTAGGCTTTATGCATTCATTTCTAACTAAGAAACAGAAAGCTTTTGCAGATGAAGTTGTGTTAATTATATGTCATGTGGTAAGTAATATTTACCAAGTGGTCTTGATTTTCATACAAAAATGCATTACAGTGCCATCACTGCATTCATTTTAGTACAGGTGTCAACACTGGCAATATTATTGCCGCCTTAGCTCTGTGTTCAGGAAAGAATCAGAAAAATGTATTATTCTGCACATTCTCACAGCTGTACCGCTGGTTGTGCCCTTGCTATGCAACAGTATTGTCAGTATCTGTCACTCTGGTATCACCAGGTGAAAGTTGTCAGATATACTGTAGTGGCAAATCTAAACATGCAGAGATAACAGATGGAGCAGTTCACAGACAGAGGAAGCTGTCATAGTGGTGAATGATAAAGGTGTGAAGAAAGACTCAATGGGAAGACAGAGGAAGGTTATTTACAGCATAAGTAAGACTGTGATTTGAATGGCTTCCTGACCTAGCTAAATGTGCCTCCAGCTGTCAGTATGACTTATACATAATTACAGAGGGAGGGCGGGAAGTGTAAGAGGCCAGGCAATGGCTACTGTATACAGAACTCAGATCCTCTGCAAAGGCATGTGTGACAAGAAGACATCAGGTTTGGCAAACAACGGACAGGCAGGCTTATGGTGCCATTCTGACTCAGTCTGGGAATAACGACAAGCTGGGAATAGCAGGGTGGCAGCAGTGTGTGGGTTGGTGTGAACAGTCTGCAAGCATGTGTGTCAGAGAAAGGGGAAGAGAATATTTTAATAAAAGACTGATGTTTAAAGATGCAGCTGAGTGTAGGATATATTGCAGATATATTCTGTGCAATACTATATACAATATGCATACTTTTGTGTTGCATTCAGGATTAAAACTAAAATACTAATGTAACACTGTTTTTGACCTTGAAGTTTAGGAAGAAACTAAACGACACCATGAAAAACATTTGTCTTTTCTTATCAGATGTCCCCTTGGACTGGCTGCGCTGTCACTTTATCCAAGAAAAATATCGTTGTTTTCCTCTCTCTGCTCATAACACAATCTAATCACAGTTTGCCAAGCTCATCCTGTATTGTCCAGGTGGCCCCACTC